CCACCGCGGAGCGGCGCGGCGCGACCGACCGAAAAAAAGAAAAGAAAAAAAAAGGACTCAACCGCCTTAATGAAACCTCCGCCCTGACACCACCGCCGGCCTGAGTTACGAACTCCTTTTCGCACTCAGGCCTTTTCGCACTCAGGCCCTGACACAGACGCCGATGCCTGTTTTTTCTGCCCATTACGAACTCCCATGTGACATAAACGTACGCCCCCCTTTCTTTTTTTTGTTCGTACCACCAGCCATTTAGCTCCGTGCCGAAAACTTTGCAGTGCCTGCACAGCCAGCTTCCGGGAAAACTGGCTGGGAAAAGTATTGGTGGACCCTCTTTCCAGCAGGTGCTGCTCCCCACCAATAGATGCAGCCTCCTGGAAAATGCTAGTGGTGTCTGCTCTTACCAGCACCCCTAGCATCCTCTCGGGTTGTTTGGTAAATTAAAAAAAAAAAAAGAGTATTGGCGGTTTAAACCACCTGTACCATTCCGAGCTATTTGCCGAGCGCGTAATGCTTGAGGCCGGGGCTCGGTGCTACCGGACCGAAATGGCTGGCAGTGCCAGCCAAAATGAGTCCCGCGCCCGTTTTTTTTTTTTTTTTTAACAAAAGCCCTTCGAAAACCCACTATCTCGGCGGTGGTGAGAGAACTGCCGGGATTGAGGGTTTCCCAGTTGGGCCGCTCCATCTATTGGTGAGGAGCTACACCTGCTGAGAAAGGGGCCCAGCGTCCCTTTTGAACAACATGAGGCACAGAGTTAACAGTTCTTTTAACAGGGCTATGAACCTATTGTATCCTTTACCCGGGGCATTCCGGACTTTCCCTAGGAGCTGCAACAATCTCCCCACCCTTGTCGGAGCCCCCTTTCTGGCTATAATATTGGCCCTGTTAAGCAGCCCCCCTATATTGTAAGTGATGTACAAGTTTGCAGAACATCTTCAGGCCGGTTCTCTTTTTTGAGGAAACAGCCCTCCCCTAATATCATATACTCGCCACTGTCGGTCTGTTTCCTATTTCGGATTTCAGAGACCCTTTTTGCGATTACTATTTATTTGAACCAAAAGCCGTCGGTGGCCCATGCAGGTCTTGTATGACAGTCTGTTACCTGTGACAGGCTACCCAAATACAATTTATTAAAACCCAAAACCCTCCGTGGCCGTTGCGGGTGTTGGAGGTCAGTCTGATTACCTGTTTCGGGCTACCAAAACCCCTTTTTTTGGCAAAACCCTAAACCCTCCCTCCACCCTCACTGGCCCCTGGGAGTATGGTATACAGCGGAAGGCAGAATATTCCCTTGAAACCATGCAGTTTGTCGAACCCCTAAAACCCTCCCACAAGTTCCACAACCCTCTCTGGCCCCTGCATGCATGATATACAGCAGAAGGCAGAACATTCCCTTGGAACCATGCTGGGCCAGCACAGTTTGCGTGCCTTGAGCGGAGCCAGATGTGGGGCATTCCTTTGGAGCGTAGAGCAGGCCCGGTGTATAGTGCATTGCGGTCTTCAATCTGTCTCCCTTCTCCGCCTTCCCTTTGGTCTCCGGTCTGTGTGCCCACCCACGCTCGAGACACCCCTGTCCAGTGACTGTGGTCTTGGCCCCTTCCATGCGGACATCCTTCACTGACCCAACTCTCCTGGCCGGGGCACGCAGACCCTTCTGCTGATGTCAGAATCAATGCAAGAGTCGTCCCTTTCAGTAATGGAGCCCACATCTCCCCAGCATTGTCGTTATGGTGTCCAAAGTCTTCAATCGGTTGCCAGTCTTTCCTGTCACCAACGAGGGAGGGGACGGGATTCCGAAGTGATGATATCTGATTGAGGGGTTCATCCCGGGAGGAGGATAAAAGATGGGGGATTTGCATTGTAGGGGATCGAGAAGTGGGAGTAAGGTTTAAGCGGCCATGCATTCTCGTCCGTCCTCCAGTTCTTCCATTGCAGTCGGGAGTCGTGGAGATCAGCCATGACCCTTTTAGGACCCAACCACTGTTCTGTGAAGCGATTTGTTAATTCATTTTGTTTTTGTCGCTTCTGTGATGTTGTGAGAGATATGTCTTCATTCAAATTTACGATTTGTTGGTTGGTCCTGTCCCACGCGGCTCTGACCCTTCCAATCAGGTATTGTCTGGACCATTTCTCGATTTATGAGTGTCATCCTTGTGCAGGGGCCATGGTAATCTTCTCTGTATCATTCCAATTTTAACGGATGTCCCGA